CCCCCCCCCCGGGTCAACAATTCCCGCACATGACTCAGCTCGTCCATACGTCTCCACTCATCCATCCGTCCATATCTATCAGAGTCCCTCCTTCTATCTCCTACTTTACCCAGTCCGCCGCGACCGCCCTCCCCTCCTCCCCCGCCCCACAGACACAGAAATAAAACCCCTTTACTTGATAAACCCCTATCTTTATCCTCTACCCTGCTGCTGGTATCCCCCCACCCTCTGCTCCTCCACAACCATGGTTTATTCATTCCTATGGGGGTGAACTCGTCCCCATTGATGATCCGCTTGCCTCCTCTTCGCTGCTCTCTTGGTTGCTCCACTGCCCGGATGATTGATTGCTCGGCCGTTCGCCTGATTACTTGATTGATCCATTCATTGATTATTTGATTCATTGATTAATTGCTTGATTGATTAATTGCCTGATTGATTAATTGACTGATTGATTGATTGATTGATCGATTAATTGCTTAATTGATTCTGTACATAGCGCAGGGAAAATGCGCGTCCCACTTGCCAACAGCCGTCGGTCAAGTTATAAAACCCACTTTCCACGCACTGTGGCTTTCCCCCCCCCGCACCTATACCTAGCATTCCCTCATCCATCCGTCCTTTTCTCTTATTCTCTTATTCCATTGACATATCAACTCCTTTTCTAAAAAATGGGGGAAAAAAAAAAGAAAAACAAAGACACGTGTCCTCTCCTTCCCACCCAGTGTGGATTTTCCCCCACCGCACCTATACTTGCCAGCATTCCCTCATCCATCCGTCCTTTTCTCTTATTCTCTTATTCCATTGACATATCAACTCCTTTTCTAAAAAATGGGGAAAAAAAAAAGAAAAGCAAAGACACGTGTCCCCTACTTGATGACTCGCTGATCAAGTGGGACGCGCATTTTCCCTCGTGAGTATTTACCGATTATAGTAGGTTTTCCTTTTTAGGAAAACGTTTTTTTTTTAATCTCTTGGGGGTTGTCGTCGTGCCTCCTCGTCAGTTTATCGATGATAGGTTTTCCTTTTTTGGAAACCCTTAATTGATCATCGATCAACCAGTGGAGTTCCAAAAAGAAGGGGAAACAAAACGTTTTCCAAAAAAGGAAAATCTATCGTCGGTAAACTCACGAAGAGGCACGATGACAACCCCCAAAAGATTAAAAAAAAAAAAAAAAAAAAAGCTAGGACCTCACTCACCGGTAAAATCTT